GCCAGGCTTAAAAAGACAGTGTGCCACATTAAATTTGAAATTCAGATAAATAACAGATCATTTTTAGCATTGACCCTTTGTTTGGTTGCTCTATATTTCTCCTGTGAGTGAAACCATCCAATATATTTCCTTTTCCTTCTTCTTATTTTGCTGAGCATAATCCCTTCCAGCTCCATCCAGGTTGCCACAAATGGCATGAGTTTATCTTTTTCAGTTGCTGAATAGTATTCCATTGTGTATATATATCATGTCTTCTTGATTCAGTCATCTGTTTTGGGGCATTTAGTTTTGTTTCCATATCTTAGCTATTGTAAATAGTGCTACAGTAAGCATAGGTGTATAGGTTTCCTTTTGAATTAATGTGTTTGTGTCCTTTGGGAAGATTCCTAGGAGTGGAATTTCTGGGTTATGTTGTAGCTACATTTTTAGTAATTTGAGGAATCTCCACACAGCTTTCCATAGTGGTTGGACCAGTTTGCATTCCCAGAAACAGTGTAAGAGGTTTTCTTTTTCTCCACATCCTCACCAGCATTTGCTGTTGTATTTTTTTAAATATCGTCCTAATATTTTTGTATAGACTTTGCCTTACCCTTCTGAATGGCCCATGTGTAAATAGCTCACTCTACACAGATGCCCTAGCCTTTCCATCTTGGTCTGCCTCATGCCATTCCAAACATGTTTTTCTGGACAGGTGACCAGAGCTTATTTGTGATTATCTCATGGCATTTCCTATGCTATGGTAGTTTCTTGTGGCTGCTGACTTATAGGGCATTTGAAAGGGGAATATAAAATTTATCCTGGGTGGCACAAGGGGTTAAGATGCAATCTATGAAGCTTGCTGTAGCCACTGCAACATGAGTTCGATCCCTGGCCAGGGAGCTACCCACATGGAACAGCAGACCTCTTCTGACTCGCTCGCTGCTTCCCTCAGCAGTGTATTTCAGTCATTCCTCCTGTTCTGTTCCCCGCTCTGTCTCTGGTGAATCCTCTCACCCTCGCCCTACAACTCTGGCCTGTACCCCAGTTCTTGTATGTACAAATAAATCTTAAAAAAAATTATCCTGGATATTTTGGGATCAATGTAGGAATAGCAACTCACTTTCTCAAAGTCCATAAAACCTTGGGTATGGGTGTCAGATTTTCTTAGGGAATCAGAGCTGCAAGAGTATTCAGGATTTGCTTTCCTGCTCTGGCCAGGATGTCTGAGAACTGCTGTGCTAGAGACTGAGGGTGCCTTGGAGAAGGACTTTGTACTGTCCCAGTCTAATGATGCTCTTTATTTAGCACATTCCCTGTTCAAAGTATCAGATGACTGAAGTATTATTTTGATTGAAGATTTTTTTTTTTTAAATTAGAAACACTCAAGTTGTTAAGTGTATGCTTTAGAAGGTGGACGAAATATGGCACATTTTATCTCTCACATTCTCTTTCTCCTGCCCCCCATGTCAAAACTGATAATTATGGAAATTCCAAGGCTGGGACACTTGGGCAGAGTTTAGATATTTACCGCATAGGAGTCAGACATGTTCTTTTAGAGAAAGCTGAGTTCTAATGGCAGAAATATTGGCCAAAAAACAATCATGAAACATTTTTGTGGCCTCGGTATCATGATCTTGTCAGTAAAGCGATGGTCTCTGATTAAATCCAGATTGAGCTGTTTCCTGTTAGCGTGCTAACCCAGAGGGCAGGCCCAGACCTCATGTCTTGCTCTGAGTCTGGGTTATTAAACACGTGTCTGCCCAGACTCCCCGCCCCCAATCTATTACTTTTCTTCTAAATTAGAATTTAAAGTTAGAGAGATATTACAAACAAAAACATACCCTGCAGTCTCTTACAAGGGTTATGTAGCTGTTGAATCTTTTACTGCAAAAATGAAACTGGAATTTTAGATGCTCTGATATGACCAGGAGACATGCTATCTTGTGTGTGTGTGTTTCGCTTTTGTATAACTTTTTTTTTTTCAGAATAACTATAGTCACTAAGCAGATATTTTTAAAGAATGTTTGCTTCATCAAAATGTACTCTATTTGAATGGTGGTGAATTAGAACTCATCTGCAGAAGCCTGGTCTCCCTTCTATGGCAAGTAGATATTAGGGAGCTTGGCAAAGGTGCAGAAAATGACCATAAAGCAAAGTACTGGGTACCCTAACATGCACAGCCAATGTATGGAAATGATTTTAGTCACTAGGGCAGCCCCTGTCCTTCCCTTTATGATATTGTCAGCATTGCTCATTCACTGTACTTAGAGAATGATTTTGAAATCCACCTATTTGAAGTATTTTATTACCCCTCTGTTAGCTCAAATAAGGTTCTTCCTAATGTGCAGATGCAAATACTGAAGAACAAAAACTGTCAAAGAGGCTTAAAAGGATCAGGCATGCAAATTGAGATTTTCTGTTTCCAACTAAGAGGAAGACTGACAGGAAGCGACTGGGTTAATGAGCAGCACTATTCCATTCCCAAGGGAGAGCCTTGATTTCCTGCCAACTCTGCCTGCTGGCAGGAAAAGGGACCCACTTTATCAGGGCCTGTGACAAGCATTTTCTCTGGGTTTGAATTTGTGGCCACATCAATGCTCAGGGAAAAATTAGTTCTTTTAAGTAGTTATGACTTTCTGTAAGAAAAGATTTAGTCTTAAAGTGGAATTTGCTTTGTGAGTAAAATAAGAATCATCAAATTACAGAGTTGGTAAGGAAACCCTGCTACTGTCAGAGGTGAGAAAGCTTGATTTAGAATTAGAGTCTGAGTAGTCATAGAGGCTGAGAAGCCAACCCTTTTGAAATTGATGGATATGATGTATACGATGTATATTGATGAAATTGATGTACTACTTTTTAATATTATCAGACTGATAATTATTTTGACCAAGTCATTTGAAATGACACCTTAAAACACACAAAATATCCCTAAATTTATCAGGGCCTGTGACAAGTGTTTTCTCTGAAAGAGATCAAATGAATGTCAATATTTGGAGCTAAAACTCATCATATTTTATCATACTTTGAATTTCTTTTTTTTTTTGAAGTGAAAGTGATAAATGTGAATTAAGTTTTCAATGTGTCATAGTGACTTATTAAGCTAACATTTTCCAAAAGAGTTCATTCTAATGTTCTGCAAGATGCTCTCAGGATAAGGGAAAATCCATTTGGAAATGTCATATACCATATCCTTCTCTTGGAGTTTCTTAACATATGTTAGAATATTAAAGACTAAGACATTCGCAGGAAAGAAATGTGTTTGATTTTGTTTAACTCTGTAGTTCCCAAAATTGACCGCAGGAACTAGTGGTTTGTATGGCATACACTCATAAAAACACTGGACCAGGTAATTAAAAAAGTAATTAGATTTTGAACCCATGGGTCTTTTTCATTTGTGGTTTCTGGTCGAAGTTAATCAAAGCTTCTGAGATGGATGGGTACTCTTTGGCCTGTTCTAAACTATGTATAGAGTGATAAAGAACAATTATTAGACCACATTTGAGACCACATTTTGAGTCAGTGGGCCTAAAGAAGCTTTTGGTATTTTTCCTGAAATAGATCCCTCTCCTCAGGCAACCCAAAGTATCTTTTGAAAATTAAAATAAATGAAGTCACCTACCACGTAAGCTGTAGTCTTAACATTAATTCCAATTAGCAGTTAGACATGGTGACATTAAGTCATTTCAGCCCCCTCTAAAGCAGCTGCTGCCACTGTGGTCTCACTGACAGCAGTCTCTGTTAATTTCCTTCCAGTGGTTGAGCTTCTGACAGGCCAGGTGAATAAAAGTAAATATGCCACCCAGTAAACACAATCTTCTCATTTCGAGATTCAATTCTGTCTTCTTTATTTCTCCTTTCATTTTCACATGTCTGATCATTTCAATTTAGAAAAATCTATAGGAAACAATTCAAACTTATAATTGAGAGAAACTGACAAGTGATCGTCACATCACATGCAATGATTTTTGCTGTAGAAAAAGATCCTTTTGTTAGATCATTTTCTCTGGTACCTTTGTATAGGACAAGCTAAATTTTGAAACTTGTATCTGTGTGTAATTTGTTAGGCACAGATCATTTTGAATGGTGTAAAACACACCCATATTTTTCTTTAATTTTTGTCCCTCATACTCGGGTTTTTTTTTTTAAATAATAAATTTTATTTTTATATTCCCCCCTACAACTGCACATTTCGGTTTTTAAGCTTACAGATTTTATCACTAATCACCAATTAGGTATTATGGTTTATGTCTCCCACGATGCAATAATTCCTACCAATGTTATCCACATGTTGCTCTCATGTGCTAGCTATTTCTCACAAGCAATGTCTACATTGCATGTCTCCACTAGGCAGGGACCATGTGTTTACCCCAGCCCTTCCTTTGCATGACTCCCCAGAGATTAGTCCAGTACTGCAGGTACAGCCACTTTTCAGTCACCTCTGCTGACTGCCAATGCTACAGAATCAGAGAGTGTGTTGCTTTCTGTGGACTGAAGGACATCAGGTTTTGGTCAGAGCTGCACAGATTTCCATGGAGGACATACTCCTCACATGGCTGATTATTTTAGTTATCAACTTGATGTCAGCTGGCTCACACAAATCCTAAGGATGAATTATCAACTCTCCATAGCCAGCGTTAGCCGGCTCCAGGGCACCACTGCAGGCGCTGTCTTTTAAGGATGAGTTTGGAAACTTACCAAGGAATAACACAAAAGGAATGATTGATAACATTTGCTAAACTCAATCTTGGGGTCATTGGAAACAGTCTTGATAAAATATGTCAGCAACTTAGTTCTTGATTGGAGTAAGTAGAAGAAAATGCCACTATTATGAAGTACCGTTTCTACTAGAGGGAAACACACACACACACACACAGCTTTTCTATACTTACAAATGAGAGGATTGCCTATGTGCCATTGGGACTTAAGTAAGAGCAAGGGAACCAGGGCCAGCTGCACTCAACTATTTTACTATTTTTGGTTCTTTCTTTCCTCCTGATCACGATCATGACTTTCTTGTACAGGTTGAAGGGGACCAGCTGCCTCCAGGACACACAGTCAGTCAATATGAGACCTGTAAGATCAGGACCATAAAAGCTGGCACCTTGGAGAAGCTCGTGGAGAACCTGCTGACAGCTTTTGGGGACAATGATTTTACCTATATCAGCATCTTCCTGTCAACCTACAGAGGCTTTGCCTCCACTAAAGAAGTGCTGGAGCTGCTGCTGGACAGGTAGGAAGGGGAAGGAGGTGATCAAAAGGTGATCAAAATGCCTGCAAGGTGCAGGTATGCGGCCTGAATCATCTGCACTTGGTGGGCTCAGAGAGATGGATGAGGAAAGATGAACTGAATGAATGATCTTTGGAATAAATGCCATAACTATTGTTTCAGAGACACTTTATGGGCTATTTATGGTAAAAATATCTCATAAAAAACATATAAGAGTCAAGAGTACATACCAGATGACAAGGCTCAATTGTAAATAGATTTCAGTGCCTATCTGCCACCCTACGATTTTCTCTGTATTTTTCCATGTTTATATAATTCCAATAAATAATCCAGTTAGCAAGGAATCATGTTGTGAGAATTAAATGTAATCATATGTGTGAAGTGGGGGCGTAGTGAGACCATAAGAAGCAGCTGATGGGTGGCAGCTCCAATGGTGATGGTGAGGATGATGGTGGTGATGATGATGGTATTGTTTGTTACTCTCATCACTCATTGGCTACTTCAGGGATCCTTACCCCTAAGCCTTGACCTATGTTGTTAAGTCACATGTTTACATAGAGTTCAAGCAGTGTACATTATCATTCACACATTGATAATAATATTCTTTTCCACCTTATTTTTATTTATAGTTAAATAAATTTATAGTTAAATAAATAGTTAGTTTTTAAAAAATATTAAACTGATTTGATAATGGAAGAAGGAAACTCTCAACCAAACCATTGTTTTAGAAATGTGAGGCTTCTCATCTGAACCCTTATATTCTGGGGTTTCTTGCATAGGAAAGAAATGAGATAGGGTTTATTTGTTACAGTTATTGAAAATTGACTTTGAACTAGATTTTAAAATGTTGAACATAATATATGCACATGTTAAAAATCCTTATACCATAGCAAAGTGTTAAAAGAAACAGTGTTTCCTCGTAGTGCTACTCTTCCCCCAGGTAACACCTATTAGGTTTAAAAAATACATAGAAACAGAAAATTAAACAGACTATTATCTAGTTAGGCAGATACATGTCTTAATATTTCAAAAATAGAATTAATCCATGTATAAAATGAGAAGTTCAAACAGTTAAGAAAATTATAAATAAAAAGTCAAAATTTCCTTTTACTCACTATGTAAAGGGCTTAGAATATTTGCTGGCATATTGAAAGCTCAAGAAATATAACTTCTTATTGTTTCAACATCAGGACAAATAGAGATTTATCCTATTCTGTTTAGTGGGGTTAACAGCATTTATTGGCTGGATTTTTCTATGGATAGACAATTAAGTTCTCATGAGGTTTTTTATTATATTTTATTTTAAATTTTTTGAAAAAATAATGTCACAAAGAATGTCTTGGAATAGATAACTTTTGAATACTTGTTTGAGAGTTCTAAAGGATCATTTCAGAGAATAATTGGTGGATCAAATTATATAAGTAGTTTAAACTGAAAGGTGTTGCTAGATTGCTCTTCAGAAGTCCCACCAACCACATTCATGTTCTTTTCCCTCGCACACCCTCATCAGCACCCCACACCCTCATCAGCTCTGGGTATTTCATCTGTACTATTAAAACTCTCTGCCATGATCCATCCATTGAAAAATAGCTTATTGTTTTTAAATATTATATTTCTTACATTGAGGTCTAGCATTTAAAAAAATACGCATTGGGTATTTTTTTGTGTATTCTGTGAACTGTCTTTTCATATCTTTAGTTTTATTTTATTTTGGACTGTTGTCATCGAGTTATTGATCATCCTATTACAACTTTGCATATGAACAAACTTAGGTTTTGATGGGGTTTGTTTTTTATTTACTGTGTGTTGGAATTTTTTTCCTAATTTCTCCCTTGGTTTTAAGAGTTATTTGTTAATATTTCTTATGAAAACATTTAAAAATGTTTATGCAGTCTATCAGTCTTAAGAAAGACATTTAATAATCAATAACCAATGTCATAAGGTTATCAATAACATTGCCTTTTTTCTTAAGGTATTTGCCTCAGGGATTCATATAGATTGAAATCATTTGGATCAATGGTGGTTTATATGTTTTATATCCAGGAAATTCACACAATGCCTATCCTTTATAATACATAGACCTGGTTATATAATTGGACTTCATTCAACATAGATAGGAAGTCCTGTCATTTTTTTTGCATAACAGCACTTAAAATATTAAGCATCTAAATCTGTGGGATTAGTGAGTCATTTCTCCCATAGTTTGTTTGCTTATATAACATCTCATACCTATAAATAGAACCTGAAGAATTGTATGAATTTTCTTTTTGCTATTTCATATTTATAAAAAAGATACTGTGTGATGTTGGCAGACTGTAAGAGGAACTAGAGCAACAGATCAAAACCCCTCCAAGTTTTCTTTGGAATTGGTAACCTCTTCTACTTATGGGTTACACCATTGATAATAGGCCACAGATGTCTACACACACCAAGTAAAGGAGTGCATGTGAGCCCCAGCTGTTCATCATAAATAGTGGACAGACACAGGAACTAGAGTGTTTAGTCTGTGGCGAGTGTACATCCAGCCTTCAATTGATCATTGTCTTTTAACCTTCACCTTGTTCTCCTAGTCTACTGCACAGACATTTTTAGATGTTAAAATATAATTGGCTGACAATCATTAAATAACAGAATCAGCATGAATTCAAATTACATTTAATCCAAACTATCATTTATGATATAACTGGATGAAGATTTAATATTTAAATTGAATCATTTGGATGGGCCTTGAATTTCATCTCATAGTGTCCTCTGCTGCTTCTGAAAGGAGTGGAGAATCAGCATGTGCTCAGGGGCCATGTTGTACTCTATAAAATACCATATGGATGAAACCAACTTGTAAGATTTGGTTGGTTCTCACCTGTGTGGTGAATTTACTGTGAAGTTACTGGTATTTAACCTTCCACATCATGTATTTTCATAATTTTATATTATTTTCCCTAGAGGTGACCCCTCACATTATATATGGTAACCCTGAAAAAAATTTGTATCTATCCCTATGAACTTAATGTTTTACTGCAAAAGGCTTACATCAATAAAAGAAACAGACCACTTAAAAGCATAGCAATGATTTGTTTTATTTTACTCTTTTTTTCTTCATTTTATTTTTATATCTTACATCTTTGATAGAAGTTCAGAGAAATTAATTCCATTTATATTGCCACTGCAGAAACTTCCATTTGTCCATCTGTGTACAGACATCAGCATAAATACTCCTCCCTTACATGTAGATCTTGTGATCAGATGTTAATCCTTGTTTTATTTTAACTAAAATGCATATTTTATGAAATATTGGGTTCTTAAATTGGTGGTTGGGAGTTTTATAGTGTATGATTGGGAGGTAAATAGTGAAGTTGCACCTATTTACCTTATCTGAAGAGAAACTTGTTATACTGTTTTCTTAGTTAATTGTGATAGGCTTGTTTGTGGGTCTCTGATGGAATTTTTTCCATGATTTCTCTGTTTCTTAATACTAGATTGCTTATCTTTTGTGACACTAATACTGAGAAGTTATTAGAGGATGAGCTAATCCCAAGCAGTCAAGAATGGATTGAAGGCAGATGCTGAAGTGTTTGTTTCCTGCCAGGGAAAAGTTTATTTGAAGTCAAGCTTTGATTTTCCTTAAGACTGCCAATCATGTGGCTTTTCTCATATGGAATGGTTTGGGGTTTGTGTGTATGTGTGTGTGTTTTTAAAAATCTTTTAAAAAATATTTATTTATTTATGCATACAAGAGCTGGGGTACAGGCCAGAGGTGTGGGGGGCGAGAGGATTCACCAGAGATAGAGCAGGGAACAGAACAAGCAGATCAACCGAAGTACACTGCTAAGGGGAGCAACGGGTGAGTCAGGAGAGGTCTGCTGTGTCATGTGGGTAGCTCTCTGGCCTGGGATCCAACTCATGCTGCAGTGGCTGCAGACAGCTTCATAGACAGCTTCAAGTCTTAACCCCTTGGCCACCAGGGAGGCCCTGTTTTTAAAAATCTTTTCAGATTTTTCATTCTGCTGATAATCAGCCTTCATGATTGACCCATAGACAGTGGTTTACAGCCTTCTGGCTAATTTGAAGTGTCTGCTTTTTGGGGTGAACAACAATTCACAAGGAATCCCTTGCCTCTCATCTTGGCTTAGATTTAATTTGAAGGTTCATTGGCTGCCTTTTAACTTAAGACAGTGCTCTGAATTGTGACTTAGCTATTAGTGTTAGGGCTTTGAGATTTTATCCTTTCTAACTTCAAAAATACGTTCCTTTTAAAAATACTTTCTTCTCACCAAATTGATAAAGTAAGGTGTAGTTAGATATTGTTGAAAATATCCAACCTCAAATATAGGGAGAAATGTGGCTTAGTGAGTGGCCCTCTCTGAGAACCATGAAATGTCTATGCAGATATCTAATTTTTTTTTTAATTTTTATTTACTTATTTACACAAGAGCCGGGGTACAGGCCAGATTCGTGGGAGGGTGAGAGGATTCACCAGAGACAGAGCAGGGAACAGAACGGGTAGACTGACGAAATACACTGCTGAGGGGAGCAGTGGGCGAGACAGCAGAGGTCTGCCACGCCATGTGGGATTCTCGCCTGCCTGCTGGGATAGAACCAGTGCTGCAGAGGCTGTGGACTGCTTCACAGCGCTGTGCTCAACCACCTGCACCACCAGGGGAGGCCCATATGCAGATATCTAGATTTCTCTTCAGATAGCTGTCACTTTAGCTATTTGAGGACCATTTGTTGACCATTCTGTCTTTCTCTGATCTGTGTCTTTGAATTAAACAGAATACCCACGGACACAGAATTGGTCGGAATTAGGTGTCCAAAAGCATTTGCTAAGCCACTGATGATACTCAGTCACAGTTTGAAAAAAGCTGAGTAGTACTCAGAATTACCCCTTTATTTCAAGTGAACTCTCCCAATGGAGAACTTGTGGGGAGGATTTTGGTTGAAGCCTTCTGTAAACAGTGCTTTAAGACCAGTCTGACTTGAATTTGCTTGTTTATGTCCCAGAG